GTGCGGAGCTCCGTACAGAATGGGCCCTGCCCTAGGCTTTTAACTGTAATCTAGTAGATGGCGTTATAACAACCAATCCCCCCTCCCATCAGATTACCATCACTATCACCACGGTTTCGAAGATAACCTTAAAAGTCCAGAAAGTCAGGAACGTGACTGCGATAGGGCGACCGCGTGATAATCACATTTTGGACAGTTCGTTCGTTTGACTGTTCAAATCAATTCAAACGTGGTGAAGCGTGCATGCTAAGGACGAGTCTCTTTGTTTCCCGAAAGCGCGGGGGAGGAGCATGCGAGTATTTACGGGTATTTCTGAGCTGAAACTGCAATTTTCGATTCAAAAATGCTCGCGGACACTCGTGCACTCGTGTCGCAGATTTTCTCCGAGTTATCAAAATTCTGGAAACCTATCTCTCGGTGTTGCAGAGACACGTGGACCACACAGTAATCTTAACGACACGTCATAGCGTCTGTCTCTACGTGGTGGGAATTTACAACGCCGTATGTTTTTCAGTGATACCGATGGCACATGTGGTGGTGTTGATAGGTTATACATGCTTTTCAATAGATTTGTCCTTTATCCCTGCTCTAGAAATTTTTTTCTCACATTTACCAAATATCAAATATATATCTATTTTATTTTAAGTTTCAAAAGTATATATACATGGAAAAACGGTGTTCAGTTTATAGAAAACAGACTTATTGTTTTCAGGAAAGATTATATCGTGAAAAAGAATTAATTGCATTCCCTACTCTTGATGGAGCAAGTACTCCTTTTTGAGGAACACGAAGTTTCATACACAAATTTAATATAATTAAAAAAAAAATTATTTTTTCATTCTCTAATTTTTCGTTACATTTTAAAAATCAATAAATATTCATTGAGTAAATAATGCGCATAATTTCTCTTATCTAGAGTTTATTTTAAAAGCTTTTTGTATTATTTTTTCCCAAAATTTCTGAATGCTTTGATAATTGAAGATACAAAGAGAAGATCATAGAAGATCATAATTGTGACAAGAATTCTCTTGAATAAACAAATTTTGTTTTTCAACAGCCGCATATTATAACAGGTAAAATTATTGTCTACAGAAATAATATGTTCGATTGTGCATGCATGGAAGATCGTGTTGTCGACATTTGAAGATGGATTGTGACGAAAAGAATTCGATAAATGTTAACTGGCAATGCGACGTGCATATACCTTAAATTCAGTGATTTGTGCCGTGTTTTTGTCATGCAAGATACTGGCAACTAATGCCTTGTGAATCTAGTGCCTCCTTGGAAAGCTGTTTTGAGCACATTTCTACAGCAAGTGAGCAAACGCATCTAGTTTAAGCCACGACAAATCATGACTGAGATTAGTATAGATAGTCTACGAAATCTCATTACACACTTTGCAAAAAACACCTACAGAACCAAGGATGCAGATGTCACGGTAGTTATTTCATAAATATATTTTATAATTAAACATGCAAACATTAAACTCTTTGTAAAAAATTAATAAACTATGTATCTTTTTACAGAATCAAGAAATCATGCAGAGATGCATGTTGCTTGCGGCCTTTGATTATGAATATTCTACAATTGATAACAGTGGAGGTGATCTTTGCGCCCATTATCCAAGCTATCTTATAATATTAGAACATGATAAATATCGAAATTTGAAAAACTGCGATACATCATTGGCATCGCCATATGTATTAGAAAATATGCTCATCAAGAGGAATAAGCTCATTAAACTGATGACACGTTCAAGATTTGCCAGATGTCGTTCAAGATTTCCAGTGCCAGTGATACTTTACAAGGGTAGACATGTATGCAGATCCTCAACGTTGTCCAGTGGACCAGAAGTGTTCGGTAGAGCTGGATTAGATTTCTTGCTATCTAGTGTAGGTAGCACTAGTTCAGTGCAACCAGTTACACAGGTAGAAGAAAATTTACCTAAGGAGGAATCGAAGTTGACTGACTTGAAAGATAAAGTTAGATATTACGATATTGAACTTCTGAAGACTCTTAATGTAGGAACCATCGTAGACTTCATGGTAGAGAAGAAGAAAGTTAAATATGGGATGACGTAAGGATGATACAAAGTCTCTCTCTTGTATTTGTATATGTCATGAAGCAAATATTTGGAGAGGGCTTAGATTATCTAATTGTTAAACTTTGTTTAGTAATTGCAAGAACTTAATAGTATAATTGTTAAAAGAAATATAAAAAGCTTTTGTATAAGAAAAATAGAAGAAAAACAAGATGGCTCTATAATAAAACTATTTATTTCGTTGCGTAATTAAACTATGAGTAAAGATTAGAGTTTGTAACAATAATGTTTAGGATGAAGCATGTATAGTTTCTGCAGAAGAAAACTGCATACATAGACAATAGCTATTCCAATAAGATGTTCATCTTCACAAACACAGAGTAAAGTTCCATAATAATAGTTCTTAGTATGAGCAGTCTGTTTTATTCTATGAATCCACTTTTAGAGGCCCTTAAACAGAGCTCTTTTGTTCGGTACTCAGCGTAACTTCGTCGGAGAAGGTAGACCAAGGAAGGAGGTACAGCGACTTTAATCTCATTTCACTGCCATATCCTGGATGTGAATTCTTCAAGGAATTTAGAGACCAAGATTATCGATCGAAGGATCTGGTGTTTAACTGGTGCCAGAATTACATAGATGCGCCAATATGTGTACCTGAAGACCCAATCTCCAGTCAATTACGAGTCAACTGGAATCAATATACAGAATGGAATCTAGTCAAATTAACGCAGAACTATTTAAAATTAATACTGAGATATCTGAGCGATAGTAATAACGGCTTATTGATTCACTGTATCTCAGGTATGGACATATTGCTATATAAAAATTTCAAAAAAATAACTACTTTTTTAAATAATTATTTAAGAAATTAATGTTATTTGTAGGTTGGGATCGCACACCGTTATTTATTTCATTACTGAGAATTAGTCTCTGGGCCGATGGTGTCATTCATACAACATTGGATTCCTATCAACTATTGTATTATACCATCGCTTATGATTGGATGCTCTTTGGACATGATTTAGCAGACAGGCTCAATAAAGGAGAAGAAATACTTTTCTTCTGTTTTGATTTCTTGAAATATATCGAAAACGAACAATTCAGTATACACAAACATTATGACAGAACGTCAAAACATAGCGAATCGGAAACTTTTGTGATTGATAGCGAGTCTTTCGAAATCATAACAAACTCAAGTTTTAGTCCAAAGAACAGTTCATCTAGTTCTATTGAACAAAATAGCGTAGATGGTGATTCATCGGCAGCTGTGTTCTTTACTGATTCTACTGATAATCAAGATGACTCACGCAACAATGTGTATGATTATTTTAATTATTTATTTTGAATTATTTATTTTTAAGTATTATAGCAATTTTGTATTAACATTATCTGTTAAATATTACGATCAGAGTTTTAACATATTTTTGTATATATTATAGAAATGCTGCTCACGGAACATTTACTACATCTCCAAACAAAGATAGTGGTGCCGTACAAGAATCGCGCTCATCATTGTCCGCAAATCGTACATCTCCGATTGGTGTTCCAATACCACGCAATCCCCATGTTCGACAACGAAACGATTCAACATCTTCAGGCGATTCATGGCAATTGGTAACAGGGACTGGTAGCCTATGTGGTTCCACGACTGCTAATGCTCCACACCTAGACAATGTATTAGCACCTGATTCAGATTGCAAGCCATCATGTACTACTTGCCGTAGAACTCGACGTACATCACAAGAACGCAACATAAATGATGATGAAAATTGTGTAACGCATACACAGTGAGTAATTTCTCGGTTCAATGGTACATATTTTATTCCTTATAAAATCTATATACATTAAAAATTTGATTTCAGACGTAGAGAACGATTACATTGTCTTCGAAATATATTTTATAAGGCTTATGGACCTCATGGATTTCGATTGAAGGACGAATCAGGTGGCATCAGTCAATATATCGGAAACATTGTTGGGATGACTTCCATTCAGCGCACATCCTAGTGGCAAATGTTATTGAGTGATTTTCCAAGAGCATGAATTTACAGTCGATTTTTTCTATTCTAAGATCACCTAATCATTCTTCTATTCTTGATTCATTTCTTCTATTTTTTAATCTTCATTTATTATTCATTAGTTCTCATTTTCTCTAAACGCATTTCTTTCATTTCTTAATCCTTGTTTATTATTCGTTAATCCTTATTTTCTTTAATTACTTCTTTAATTTCTTATATTTTTTTAATTCTTGTTTATTATTAGTTAGTCCCCATTTTCTCTAATTGCATGTACAAGAAAAAAAATCATATATTTCGTTTCTTTAACTTGTCTTTTCACTCTAATTGTAATATGATCAAATGTGAGTAACAGGAGAGCAAAAAAATCATAACTTAAAAAACGCTTTTGGCGCATAAGAGAAAATATAAAACAAAGACTCTTAGAATAGTAGAAATCGATTATATTGTTAATAGGATTGATCAATGTGATGCTACAAATGCTTTAAAACGTTTTTTTTTTTTTTTTTGATGAATTTAGAAAATTCTTTCTTCTAATTGATCAATCAAACGCTTCAAAACATTTGTAGTAAGACTAATCGCAGCCAATAATACTTTTGTCCAATTAACAATTTTATAAAATGAATTTATAAATGAAAATGAGGAGAGATTGTACATAACTGTTTTTCTCAAAATTGGACTGTTATACAAAATGTAGTATGATTGAATATGATAATCAGAAATAATTGAATAAAACTTGATATTTTTGTATATATCTATAAAAGCAGATATATTATTTTATCACTTTCATCTTCCCATATGTAATTCCTATATATAAATACTAATTCTTATTAATCAATTATCAATATCTTATAAAGTTGCAGATAAAAATGACTTAAATCTTTTGATAAAAAGTTTTGGGAATTTCACATTGAAATATAATTTTTCAAAAAGAACGATGGGTAAACTTAAATTCTTTTTATTTTAAAGATGATGTATTCGTTTTAAAAATATATTATTTCTTGTAAATGTATAATATATAAATATATACAAGACCTTTATATTATGTATTCAGGAATATATAAAATCTATTATCACAGAAAATTATAAATTCATCAAGTGAACAATTCTTGATGGTGGTACATATTCTCTACAGTATGGACATTGTGGTTTAACACGTAACCATTCGCTAAGACAGTTCCAGCAGAATAAATGACCACATAGTGTCGCAGTTGTTGCTGTTGCTTCTAGACACAATTGACAATTGTGATTAATGCCCCTAGCATTAGATATATTTACATCAGTAGTATTTTGTGCTGTACCACTTTGCCAAATTCTCAATAGACATTGAATTATAGTAGCAATTCCGAATAATCTTAATCCCCAGCTAACAGTATCCTTTGGTCGAAGTCCATGTACCTTCAAATTATTACATAAATATAGCAAAATCAAATATAATATTGTGAATTTTTAGAGCTTGAAATTTACCTTTGTATAATCTAATCCAGCAATTCTTCTGCCCAGGCTGTAATATCTACCATAAATATAAAATATCCCTTTGTGGAATAGTATAATTATAGGTATTAATGTGTGTAACTTGGATAGTAAAGTGTTTAAAAATGTTATTGCTGCTGGAGTCAACTCGCTATGTGGATGATTCACATATGTTTGTAACTGTTGTAACAATTTGAGTAATGTCCTTTCACCACAACATTCTAAAATCGCAGCTAATATTCTCACCTAAAGAAAAACAGAATTTAATTAAGTTATCAAAAGGATTTGCCTTTAAATAAATCTCTCAAACTGAACGTACAGTTAATGTTGGAACTCTGCGTTGCTCTAAATTAGCCTGCACTATGCCGGTATATTCCTCGCCCAATGTTTGATTGCCCATACCCGATGTGAAAATAAAATATAATAATTTAAATGGAATATCAGACCGAATGTATTGAAGTAATGTCCTGTGCACTCCGAAATTCTGTGATATATCGGACAGCTTCTCCCGCAAGAATTTAATAAAATCATCGTCCCGTTGATGCGATCGTAATATTTCCGCCTGACTTGCACATTTTAGTTTGCGATGAGACCAATTTCTGTCAGTCTCCATTTTTCGTATTATATGTTTATCGTGATATATGGAGTACAAAACGCATGAAAAAGCGAATTCATGCGTAGTCATGCATGAAACTTTAAAAAAATATTTAGATTGTAATGCATTCAAGTCAGCTCAAACAATCAAGTAATAGCGATAGAAACAGAGGAATATATCATGTATCGTACGGTTACACTCAGAAATACTCACTGATGTGTACCAATACACACCAGTCGTTCGGAAATACTCGTGTGTACTCGATGGCACTAGTGTGAAATTGTTCGGAAATGTCGAGAGAGTCACATCGAGTACCATTAAATCACCTGTGCGAAAAGGGGAGTCGGTGTGAGCCGATGTTATGATCGCAGCACAGACTTGCATAACGCATAATGCATAGTCCATAAGAAAATCGACCAATCGAAATTCAAAATTTGGAACGAATAACTTATATTCCTTTCTTTTTGTAATCATATACCGCCGTCGTTCTTCTTTACATCATTCCACTTTTCTTTACCGGTGAATTGTTTAGCTCGAGGTTAGGGTTAAACGTGAGCGGTGAGGTAAAATTGACACGCCACACGGAAGCCGTTCGGGAACACTCATCACTCAAAGGTATACGATACCCCTATTACTTCTCCACTGAAGTCACTAAACATTAATGAGTTTAAACACAGTTTATGTTGGAATCCTCTGTTCCTATCGCTATCGCTATTGATATTTCTATCGCTGTTGCCTTCGCATTGTGTTTAGGTCTTTAGCTGCAATTTCACGAAAATATGGTATATTCCAGATATTTCTCCCATCCATATAGCTGAAACAGAGGCATATAATTATCATAAAACTTATACTAGAGGGGGAATGGCCTATTCAAACAATGAGTGTGATCTAGGGTACGGTCAAACGCGATGCTACAAACGCTTCGAAGCGTTTTTTAATTGGTCAGTTTGCAAAATTCTTTCTTCTAATTGGTCCATTAAATGCTTCAAAGAATTTGTAGTAAGACTTTGATCATAACCATAGAGTCTCTAATAAGGAGCCACGTCATAAGGGGTATCGATCTCTGATTGGTCAGATTGATCATTTTGAGTTTCTTTATAATCGTCGCCGTGCTGATACTTTCAATCTGATAATGAATTTGTGAATTGATGTGAGCAACTGTTTCATGGTGATAGAAGCACGAACACGAAATCGGACTATCAATTATTAATCATGTGGAATTATGCTGCTTCTGGCCATCCGGCAATGACGTCCTTCCGGTCTTATGTCTTAATTCTTGCTAGAGGAACTCAAGTGTGAGCAAAACTGAGAGACAGAAGATGATTTCTGTCCTGCTCAATAATTTTTCTTTTTTAATGTATGTGCCAAAAGAGGATAGAAGAGGACAGAAATACATGTTTTGTCCTCTCTCAGTCTTGCTCACAGCCATGGTGGAAGAAATAACATAGTGTGTTCACAGTATCAATCATGAAACTTTATCCTTATAATTTTCACGAGTTGCTCTAACTGGCTGTTTTAGCGATAAAAAGAATCACGTGATCAAAATGAATCCTTGATATTCATCAATTTGACCACGTGATCCTTTTTGTCGTTATCGAAATAGCCGGTTTGAGTAGCTCGTGAAATTTATCTTAAGGCTGCATTTTCATGCTAACGTTCGACGCTCGATTCGAGCGTCAAAACAGATCACATGATTAAAATTGACGAATACTAAGCATCAATTTTGATCACATAACCTGTTGTTTTGATACTGAAAATAAGCGTCAGCATTACTTAAGACTACTTAAGACGGTCTTGAAAAAACAGCTTAAGATGGAAGTTGGAGTGAAAAGTAAAAAATTTCTCCTTAATTTCAGTAGTACAAGTTATCACTTTTCACTTTTTATTTTATGGTTTTATCTAAAGTTTCATAATTGATACCCAAGTTTGCAAGCATCTCTCTCTCTCTCTCTCTCTCTCTCTCATCTCCAATGAGTGTATAGTTTTACCGATATTTTTATTCTAAAGGTTACTTTCATTGGATATCGCGTGTCGCGCGCGACGAATATCACACTGGTGTGCAAGAGCCATAAGGGTGCGATTAAATGTAGTGCGATACGCAGTACAGAAACTAAATAGATAACTATAGGAACCGCGCAAACCGTGCCGCTTGCTTTTTTTTCCTCTATTACGCCGGGTTTACCTTGACGGAAAAACGGAAAGTGGAAAAGCAGAAAGCCAATCAGAACTCGCGGAAAAACAGAACAGATAAACGAACTGTATCGCCTACTACTATTGTAAATTCCGATTAGCTTTCGCTTTTCTGCTTTCCATGAACCAATCAGAAAGCTGCATTAGTGTCTTAAAACATTACTTAAAACGGTCTTGAAATAAGATTCGACTATGAATACCGGCCTAAACACTTTTTAATAGAATTAATTAATTTAAATGCAATTATTAAGTTAAACCCGTTGAAAAAATAAGAGTATTGATGAAGTGTATATAGAAAACGGATCACTAGTTAGTTTCTGTACTGCGCTACATGTAATCGCATACTCTGTACATCTAGTGACTTTTTCCTAGAATCTGTCGGTAAAGGAGAACAGCGGTTGGTTGCATCGAGTGCCGACGGCAATGGCGGCGATGCGTGTTCACGGATAGAGGGCAACTGTGGCGGTGCGGCGGCAAACGGCGGAGAGGCATCGCCCTAGATAACGGTAGAATCGCGCAGTGCTGTCGCGTTGTCTTCTCGCGTGAGTGTGAAAATCTAGGAGGCGGGGAGGCGTACAGGAAGGGTAGGCGGCGGCACGAGAGAAAGAGAGAAAAAGAGTAAAAGAGAGAGAGGCGCGTCCGTCTGCGATCCGTGTAATCAGCATCGTCGTCGCCTTCTTCAAGGTTCTCGTTGTCCTCGTGAATCGCGGAACGAGTCGTGTGTGTCTCTGCGGATTGATCGGTACGCACAGTGCCGATATATCAGGCGTGCCGTGTGTGCGAAAATCTCTCGAGACTCGAGAGAACTGAAGAGAACCCGGTACATAAGCCGCATTCGTCATAACGTGCGACGCGAATTCCGACCTTTCGTTAGCCAATGCGGAATCAGCCAGGCTAGTTGGTTGGCCAGCGGCAAGAACCGTTCAACAGTTAGAACGGATAACGCACATCAGTTTCGTCCTCGTTATCCTTTGGATCTCCTCAATGGACTCGTGACAGTGTGTGGAGACGGAACAGCCGAGCTGAATACAAAAAAAAAGAAAGAAAAATAGAAGAACGCGGGTGGGCCAGGTAGGCTGTATAATAATCACCGAGGTCTCGTCAGTCGTGGCGACGAGGAAGAGACAGACGAGTGGCGCGCGTGAGACGGGGACAACGAGGGACGCGAGAGGAGGAAAGCGAGAATATACAGGCTTGCCTCTGCGTTGCGTGTGTACGTGTATGCGCGCTTGAGAGCCGCCGAACCGACTTGCGCGAGCGACAAAGACGGACAGTAGGAAAAAGAAAGAGAGAGACAGAGCGGGAACGAGAGAACGGCGGAGAGAATTATCGAGTGAATCCCGGGAGATACTGTGTTCTCTGCGAGGAGCGAAGAGCGTGGGGCATTCAGGAGGCACGAGAGGTAAGGACTCGGCACACGAGACGGAACGCGGCTCCTCTAAAAAAAGAATCCTCCCTCTCCTTCCTTCTCTCCTCCCTCCTTCCCCATTCGAGAAGGCGCCGTGCATCGTGCTGTGGCGTGGCATGCCGAACCGAGACCGGAAATCGTTCACGGCGTCGTCGGTGACCGCCCGCGCCTTCGCGTACGCGCCGGGAATCGAAGGCGAACCACACGTTTAGTTCAGAAAACGATCGGTAATGGGTGCTTCACTGCTTTCCGTTTGGTGACACGAGTTGTCGTTCTACCTTCGTTCACTCCCCGAATGTCAGAAAGATAGAATGATGTTTATGTCGAGATTTGTGTCAATAAATGGAAAGCGGCCAACGAATTCTTCCTCTTCCCTACCCCCCAGGAAAATTGTCAGGCCCTGTTCCTTTCAGTCGAACTCGCATAGCTCATCTTTGAGGGAAGAGGAGAAGATGAATCATCAAGAAGTCTCTGAAAGAACAGACTCGCGCTTCGAGATGGTCCGAGATCGGTAAGCGTGAGTCTGCGGCACCGGCGGGGGATCGGTGATGCCTCGAGTGTCATGTTTTTCTCGCGGTGAGTTCGCTCGGGGAAAAAACCTCCTTCGGAGAGAAATGTTTCGTTCTCTTGTTATCTTCTCGTGATTTTCCCAAGCGAGTGAGACAACGCGCGCGTGTGAGCGAGATCGCCCGGCTCACTCTTCTCGTTTCCACACCGGGTAACTAGCGTTTCCTCTTACAATCACGGCCCACCCGAGCCGCTCGCGACAGTTCGCGATATACGCGACAACAGGAGTTTCCTCGCGGACCGCCGTCATTTTCATCGGGGATTCGGGGAGTAAACGTCAGGCGGATCACGCCTGGCGGTTTAGACCGATCCTTTCTCTCTCTCTCTCTCTCTCTCTCTCTCTCTCTCTCTCTCTCTCTCTCTCTTTCCCTCTGTTTTTGTCCCTCCCGTTTTTCGCACGTGGATAGACGAGGAGATGCGGTTGCACTGTAATTGGGTACTAACGAGCACATCTGTAGGAATATCTTGCGGGATTTCCTGCGTGACTAATGCGATGAAGAAATAAATCGCTTGGAGGTAGATCGTCAGGGACAAAGGCGAGGTTCTTTTCGGCCGTAGTTCCTTGCACTCTCTTTCTTTCTCTCTCGGTGTTTAAAATATAAAATAGACGCGTGCTCTCACAGAATATCTGACTAGAGGAGGAAACGAGAATGACTGTACGGAAATATAGAAAAATATGAGAGAAAAATAGAAAAATTAAGTCTGATTAATTCAATCTTGTCTACATTTTTTTTTTCATTTATCTTTGTTTTTATTTATAGAGGAAATAGGTCTGATTGTATCACAATAATTGAAATGTTGGTAGATTCAATCATAAAGATATACATAGTTGAATCTATCAAATATTCTAGTTAAAGTAATCAGAAATTCAGTTACGATAATTAGAATTCTGACTAATATGATCGGAATGCGTTTTGTTTGTACTTCTTGTTGGTACAATCGCTAGAAACAGAGTCTGATTGCGTTAATTGGAATTTTGATTGAAAATAGGCAAACAGAATGTTCTGTCTATTTTTAATCGGAAATTTTTTTCAGTGTGTAATATACTTATATTTTCTTTCCATGACATACTGAAAAAGAGCCTGGTTGCATTAATTAGAATTAATTAATTGAAAATAACTAGAATAAATAGGATTCTGATTGATCAGAATTTCTAATTCGTCCAGTTTTAATCAGAAATTTTTCTCAGTGCAGAAGAAATCAAATAAATTCGAGCTGAAATTATCTTTTTATAAATCTACCAGTTGTTAAACTCAATTGAAAAATTTGTCTATTAGGATTCTGTCGGGAGCATAAAAACGATCGCTGCATCCGTTCGATGCATCAACTTGAAGTTATAGGGTCTTTTAAATCTGAGCGTTGACACGAATCTCGTCAATTTAAATCCGTAACGCGGTGACGGGAGAAAAGAATAGGGATTAATTTTAATATCGAAGAGAATGGGGGAGAGAGTCGAATGCGAGGGAAGCAATGCACTAGAGGGAGAGAGGTTGTATCCTGTATTCTCGTCGCGAATCGCGGATCATGTAAAACTGGAGCTTAGGAGTAAAATCGAAAATCGCTCTTCGATGCGCAGAGCTTTGGAGTTTTTAAGCTGGACAGCCTTGATCCACTCTCTCTACGCTGCATTTTTTTTTTTATAGAAGACAATTTTGGCGATTAATCCATGGCTTTTTCAACAAAGATCACGGAGAACCGCATGGCGTGTTCTAATCTGTAGTCGACTCACGTGAGTCATCGGCGTCGCGCAGGAAGTGGCTTCTGGGAAGAAAGAATGTCGACATAATGCTGATCGGATATTCTTACTTACTATTGTATGTGAGAGATTCTGTTTAGACATCGACCGAAAAAAAGAAGGAATATTTTTTGTTTATAATCTTTCTGCAACAAATGACGTGGACTAAAGAAGATTATTTATGAACAAACTGCAGCAGTCGAATGTCATTTATGTAATATATATTTTCTTTCTATGTCGGAAAAAATCAAATAAAGGTGGCTCCAAACGACATGGCCAATGTAGACCAACTGCGTACATTCGCTAAATATTGACCTATATTCATATGAACAATTAAACATATTATGTGTGTAATATTTGTTAATATTGTCATACATTGGCTATATTATCTGGAGCCGCCTTTATTTGATTTTTTTTCACTTCCTGATGCTCGTTTCTATTACACTACCAAACGAAAAAAATATTTTGTTGAAAATGGAAAACCAGAAAATTTTGATTATATCAATCAGAATTCCATTTATCTCAATTAAAACTTTTAATAAATTTCACCAGAAAATTCTAGTTGATTTAATCAGAATCTTCTTGTTTGTTCATTTTCAACCAAAAATTTTTCTGAATACAACATAGTTTAATTTTAATCTCGGTTTAATTAACTCTTCACCTTTTCTAATTCTAAGAATTAGAAAAAGATAAAAAGTTGGTTGATCCGAGATTAAAATTGACCCTTACTGTATAAGGTCACTAGTGGTCGAGTAAGCAATTCCTGTTTGTGCAAATTTCTTTGAGTCTTTCGATAATTATAAATTATGCTACATTTTATTATTTTCTAGAATGAAGTTCCAATATTTATTTTAAAAAGTTGAAAGTATTGTTTGGACTGATGCGGCACCAAATTGCATCTTATGTTATAAGAGTTAATCTATACTGGTAGAAATGAGCATGAGAAAAATTTTTGAAAATAAATAAATCAGAAGATTTTGATCATAGAATTAGAATTCTGGTTATTTTAGAAATTATAGAATTATAATAGATTCATTCAAAAAATTTTCATTTTTCCATTTACAATTAGAATTCCAATTAATGCCACACTCTTTTTTCAATATATCACCTGCCAATTATTAAACTTTCTCATTTGAAACATTTATTGGAATTTTTGGGATTATAAAAATAACTTTTTTTAATATAAATTCGTATTTCTTGTCGTTTTCACAGATCTGTCGATTTTACAGAAGGGAAATATCTCAAAATTTGCACGTCACGACCGATATTTTTTCCGCTAACGGGTATGTAAAAATTCACGATGGGAAAAAATTCAGTTTCAAAGGCGAATTCAATTCGAACACGGTCGTATAAGCTTCGAATTAATACAACGTCATAATGCCTCATGAGATTTGCTTTGCAATTCGTGAGTACGTTTCGTCGATTTTACTCTTGTTCGTATTTGCGTACGAGTATTGCATTATTTGCTACTTATTGAACCGTAAATAACATTAGATAGCACGTTAAACGTTGCGGCGTGGTGTTAATACATGTTGTATTAAACGCAACCGATGCACTTAAGAAGTTACCATCGTATATAATAACATAAGGATAAGCCATTTTGAACGTGTTGAAATATTGTCGTAAACTCTCGAAGATAAAACAAAAGCTTTTACGGCGCAAAATTGCAAGGAAGTGCAATAATAATTTTCATGCGCCGGGTGATATTCTAATCGACACGTGTGTATCAACGTTAGAGAAAGACCAGACATATAGTTAGTGCCTACGATATCATCTCGTATCACATAAAAACGATAAAAAAAATAAAATTTTTTTTAAGCGATAATTCACCAACACGGACCGGTCATCCTTGAAAAATGAAACAAGAAATCTTACTCACGTTGATCGATGGTTATGAACGATTATAAAGATTGATGCCGTATTTATTCTTGTAATAGAGTTTTCTTATATATATTTATATTGCCAATTTTCAAGATACATTGACAGGAATATTACACAAACATTCTTCTTTGTTATACAAATGAATATAGATTTAAGCGGTTTATAATACATTAATATAATTTCCATTAATTTCATGTTTCTAGAATCTTATCAACAAAAATAAATAAGTAACAAATAATAATAATAACAGAATAATAATAGTAATGATCGATACGTCTTGTCTCCGTGTCCTGCAATTTTGTATACGGAAAGATTTTGTCGAATTATCTAAACATTTAAATACAGATATGAAAACAATTTTGTTCCATCATTTTGTTAAAATAATTACGTAGGATGCTCGAACTGGATAGAATCAAAATTTCTTTTACAGCATCATGTTTGCGTTTCCCATATTATTTGTTAGTGTAATTATTTTGATGATCAACATTATTAATATCAAAGGAGCAATGGTAACCCAATCTCTTGAGTTAAGTAACTTGTTATTTTTAACTTTCATATGTGTCGAAATGTAAATCATTCCATTTCTGTGATTACTTCAAAGTAAATACGTCTATATTAATGAATGTTCTTAATAAATAATGAAATAAATTTAAGACAAGTTTAATATTAGGTATAGTAAAAAGAAATCCATTATTTTTGCATGAAATTGAATGGAAAAATAATGGATTTCTTTTTACTACACCTAATATATTGTTTTGCGTAGCTAAGTAATTTGTTTAATTCTATTTTTTTTTAGTTAAAATAACGACGTATAGTAGCAGACTTATACACGGAGAGAATTTTCTTTTAAAATTTATTCTGAAAATATGATAGTACAATACAATATTTTAAAGATTTTTCCACACCTCAGTAAAATAAAAAATTTATTTTATACTTTATTGTAGTTTTATTAATGAATGAAAAAGATTTACTAAAAAGATTTATTAAAATTCTTCGAAATACAATGTCTCACGACTCATCATATTTTTAGAGTAAACTCTAAGAAAAAATTCTCTCCGTGTAGAAATGACTCAATTAACTCAAATTGGGTATAATTTGACATTTGAATTTAACAGTAATCAAAATTGTGTTCAGATCTGTATCTACATAATTTTTCGACTTTAGAAAAATTTTTCGATGTATCTTATAGAATTTATAAAAGAGTTGAAAATTTTTTAAAAATAAGATACTCAACACTCTTTTCTCCTTTGCTTGCAAAGTCCCTTCGATCAGCAGCTAGGTCCCCAACTGCGTCTCCTGGCTCCGCGTCCGCATGTTTCACGCTCTTACAGCGCTCGCCATTTCCGCTAATCTCCTGGAAACTCGTTAAGCTTATTCAATTTACCGTAATCGTTCATTCGTTTGTGATAATTTGATTTTCGTCGGGCGAGATTTTACACACGAGTTGATACATTCCAGATCGCCGAAATTAACGCAGGATTCGCGAGCAAAATGAGAAATAAAAAAGATTTCCCCGACATTTTAAATCTCGTGGAACAAGGTTTAAAAATATAAATGGCAGAATTGTTCGAAACTTTATTGTCAACAACCTGCAATCTCTCTCTTCACAAGAGAAAAGCTTCACGCCGTGAACCGAGTTCGTTGCGATGTATAGCGTTCCGTAAACATTTCCATTGATAAACGCGAAACCAAGCAACTGCAGTCGCGACTGCGTAAATTCGTAGTTATAAATGATCACGCCTGTTGAATAGCGATTCTGCTGTGAAAACGAGACTCTATTCGACTTTGAACTCGATAACGTCTTCGACTTACGTTTTCGAAATAGCTCATTCGCATCGCGTAAATACCACTGTTTTCGTGCCAATATCGAGCTATTTCGAGTAAAGTTGTCATGCTTCTTGCTAACTCGATTGCACATTTACACTCCGAAGAAAAAAACATTGTACAAGCCTGACTGTCGTATCCGATTCTGTTAAACTCCATAAATGTGAATCCACTTCAAAACTCGAGAAAATATTAGAGTCGTTCGATTAAATAAATATTGATTTTTTTATTCGTAATGTAATAATGTTTATTCAATGAAACGGATACTCTCTCTCTCTCTCTCTCTCTCTCTCTCTCTGGTTGATAAAATTACTTTAAAAAGAACGCCTGGAGGATGACATTTATAATTTCCATGAAATATTCAATGTGAATGTTTCACTGCGAAGCTTAATAAGGGTCTCTGAGGCTTACGCACCATAAAGGTTCACGAACCCCATGACTCACTGCGTGACATGCAATGATTCGGCTTATGGAAACTTTTTTTACCGATGAGGTGTGTCACGATGTTTTTCATTCTTCGACTTCCCCTTCATATAATTTTTAGCATTTACTGCTAAAATTAATGTAAGCCTTTAATAATAATAGCAAATAAATTTATTACTGTATTAAAATAATAATATTGAAATAATAAATTTATTGCTATT